GGTTCTAACTGGTTCTCCTCTCTGCAGGGAGCCATCCTGACCACCATGCTCGCCACTCGGAATTTCTCAGGTAACTCTTCCTCTATAGATCCCCCCGCTGCCTCATGTCGGGGTCTCAGTGGCCTTTGGTTCCTGCTGACTCGGACCGGAGCTCCAGGTCCAAACCCTGAGGGACCGGTCCAGCAGAACTCTGATGTTCTCAGCAGTGACTCTTTTCTTCTTCTTCCCTCCTTCTCTTGTTCTTCTGCTCCAACCCGGAAGGTGAGAGTCTAGTTCTCCTTCTGGGTCCGGTTTGGTTCTGGCCAAATATCTGGTCCAATGGAGTAACTGCATAGAGCTCCAGAGTGGCTCGCTGGGTGTTCAGAGGTCAAAGGTCAGCCTGCTCATCTACCTGGTTGCTCTCAGATGGTTCCACTGCTCTCATCTGAAGCACGGCTGTTAAGCTAGTTAGCATTTAGGGTAACACAAGCTAAAAGGTTGACTGACTCCACCATCAGCCAATCCAGGAGACGGGGCCTCCAGGAGACGGGGCCTCCAGGAGACGGGGCCTCCAGGGGACGGGGCCTCCAGGGGACGGGGCCTCCGGAAGACGGGGCCTCCGGGAGACGGGGCCTCCGGGAGACGGGGCCTCCAGGAGACGGGGCCTCCAGGAGACGGGTCCTCCAGAAGACGGGGCCTCCAGGGGACGGGGCCTCCAGGGGACGGGGCCTCCATGGGACGGGGCCTCCATGGGACGGGGCCTCCAGGAGACGGGGCCTCCAGGAGACGGGGCCTCCAGGGGACGGGGCCTCCAGGGGACGGGCCTGTGTGTCCGGCTCCTGGTCGTGGCTTTAGTCTGTGGTTGTGGTTCCAGGGGGGCTGGATGAAGGTTAAATATCCTCCATGATGGCGGCAGAATGTGAACTGATGGAGGCCCCGTCTTCTGGAGGCCCCGTCCCCTGGAGGCCCCGTCTTCTGGAGGCCCCGTCTCCTGGAGGCCCCGTCTTCTGGAGGCCCCGTCTTCTGGAGGCCCCGTCTTCTGGAGGCCCCGTCTCCTGGATTGGCTGATGAAGGTGATGAGGAGCTGCGGGCTGACCTTTGACCTCTGGTCCCTCCAAAGCCCCTCCCCCCAAGGCTTCCAGTAATTGATTGGATCGGATCAGAACCTGGTTCTGACCCGTCTGGGTTCTTGTTAAACTCGCTGCTGCTAATTTTCTCTCATTGTTGTTTGTTTTTTGCAGTAGCCAGGGGCCTGATGAACAAAAAGACAGACGGCGTCAAAGTAAGGCTCCGCCCCCTGTCTCCTTGCCCCTCCTCTGTCTTGTAGCCCCTCCCCTGTCCGTGGCTCCACCCTTTGTTTCTAAGCCCCTCCCCCTGTCTCAAACTGCTATGTTTCCTCAAACATTCTGGTGAAACGGATCAAACCAGGGCTTTGCGCTTCCCTCACTGCTCACCAGAGGCTCCGCCTCCACGCTCTGAGTGAAGGAGCAGCTGCTGCCAGAACCAGGGGATGAGGTTCTGCTCCGCTTCTCATCCTGGTTGTTCTGATCCTGAAGCTTTCTGGTCGTTTCTCTGTGGCTGCAAAGGTTCTGCTGGGTTCATGCTGCTGTCCCTCAGCAATAGGTGGAGGCAGGGCATCCGGGTCTGCCAGATCCAAACCTCTGATATCTTTCTGTTTGGGTTCCTTTACCCAAGTAGGTACCAGTAGAACCTGGATCGGGTCTCAGGCTTTATTTTCCAGTTTTGGTTCCATTGTCTTTTCTCTCTTTATTCAAATTCAATTCTATTCAGTTTATTTCTATAGCTCCAATTCACATCATATCATCTCAGGTCACTTTATAGATCCA